ATTAAAAAAATTCCAAACACTAGCGGGTGCGCGATGGGACATTTCATAAGAAAGTGGTTTTATTACTTGCTAAAGTGTCGGCATTATGTTTCTTATAATTGAAAATATGCGAACGAGGTGCGAATATTTGAGGTTATTATTGTAAGGATGTTTTTGAAAATGTGGACTTGTTCCAAAAATAAATTTGAAAGGACATAAGAGATATATGTATATAGATTACTTTATTTATAAACAAATGCATGAATATCTTATGAGCTTGATTTAACGATTCTTTATTTGTATGGTTATAGGATCTTTATTTCTGTTACAACTTTAAAAAAATGACACAGAAGCATTTATATATTATACCTATAATTTATCTCTTTAACAGTAATACGAAACAAAAAAACAAAGAAGAAAGAATTTAGGCATTTAATTGAGAACCGAATTGTTTGCCTTAGATGTACACAAATACTTCATATGCAATTTCAAATCTAATAAATAAAGTTAGATAACGTTCTGTAATACTCAGAAATTTATGAAAAAAAAATATATTTTTGGTATTTTTGGCATTGTTACAGTAACTTACTGCTGATTTTTTTAAACAAATTCCTTTAACTTTTAACAACGGAGTCTATCTCGTTAGCAAATCGGAAATAAAAATAATTGTAAATATAAATTCTGTGGAGTACAAAAACATCAACCCTAATCCGCTTCAAATCCTTTTCAAAAAAATACAACCTTAGTAATAACCACCTACAAATTCAATCCGCAAGCTATAAAACTCGCGAGTAGCCAACGAGTCCGGAAGCGAACAGTTGGTCATAGCTTGAAAGCTTTACGGCCGGTAAATCTATATTAAACCTTTTTCCTTTGAAATAAGGACTATCAGTAAGTCATACAGAGCTTGCAAAAGTTCTACTTGGCCCCGGCGGATGCCGGCGACAGTTACCTTATTTGGAATTGGTCCAGAGTCTCGGACAAACTTTTATGTTATTTCAATGTGGTTAAACTGAAAGAATTGTATTTCAATGGACTATTTGTTGAACGGTAAATAAATCGGATCAGTGATACTTTGTAAGTGGTGTAGCGATTGTCAATTGTTACACTGAGAGTAATAAATTTTTGTGTATTTTAAGTATATTGAAATAATAAAATCTCTACCAAATTATTCTTTTCTTCTTGCATTAAGTTTGTTTTTAATTTATTTTGGTACACAGTCTTTAAGGTATGTCTGCCGAATTTGGAGAATTATGCTTACAGATTTCAATACTTCGTAGAATACAAAAACTGGGCATTTTAAATAACTCCAATATTTCTCCTAACGTAGAAAAATGCCAAGTATATGGTCAACAATTTTGTATAAATAGTTTTGCAGTAACACTCGACGATTTCGGGAAAAAAATCAAATCCAGTTACAAATATTTCAGCAATACATCAATTTTCAGCAAAGTTGGGGTAAAATGTTTTGAAAAATCTATGAAACTATGACAGACCGACACAAACGCTGAAAACTTTTTTTAATTTGCTACATGTGCTTTATCGATCAAACTAAACGAGATTTTTTATAATATTGATTTAATTTTGTAAAAAAAAGTTCAATAACATTCTTATTCCGTATTCAAACTTGAAAATTCATGTTATTGAATAATTTCGTAAAACTTTCAAAAGATTCGTAAGACAAAAAAGTTCAAACTTAGCAAAATTTATAATGAGAATTTCATAATTAGCAAATTAATCTACTTTACCTTCGTCGGGAAACTTATTAAGTAGATTAATTCTGTACACATTCGTTATTGGGAAGACATTATCAACAGCTTCATTGACCTAGTAGTTAGTATATTCAACTACAAATCATAAGGTCTTGAATTCAATTTCATAGTGGGGTCGATCATTAAAAATACACAATTTCTATTTGACAGAAAAACTTCAATGGTAGTTCTAATTTTGGATATTGGCGGTGTCTGAACACCCAGGTGATACGAATCCGTCCAGCTCTGCGATTCTGTAACTCACTTTTCGAACTCACACAGCGGTTTTCGCATCGGCGGTCGCTCTCAAATCAGTCGTGAAGCAGTCATTTTATGATTTGGCATTCTGAAATGGTGGGAGCTTGTAGTTTATTGTTTATCAGAATGCCAAATCATAAAATGACTGCTTCATGACTGATTTGAGAGCGACCGAGCCGATGCAAAAACCGCTGTGTGAGTTCGAAAAGTGAGTTACAGAATCGCAAGGCTGCACTCTCGATATGGCGTGGTTGTTTTTTATGTAATAGGAGGCTTACCTGATGTTAAGGGATACCGCCGCCTATGGACACTCACATTGCCAGAAGGCTCGCAAGTGCATTGCCAGCCTTTCAAGAATTGGTACGCTCTTTTCTTGCGTATGCTCTTCTACTTCACTGGGTAGCTGGTTCCACATAGCGGAGGTGTGCGGCAAAAACAGCCTTAGAAAACGCACAGTTGTTTAAAAAATTGTTTGTGTCGGATATTCGTCTTTCCGTAGTCTAAATTCGCACTTACATTCGCGCATTGGGATATCTTGGGATTATATTTATTTATTTGTCACCTTTTTCGGTGATTAGTCTAGTTCACTATTATATATACTAAGCTTAAGTATTTCAGGTACAATAGGACATTCCCTAACCTATTAATACATTGTTGTTGTGTTTCAATGTTTAATAACTTAATCAAAAAGATCTTTAAAAAGGGTTCAAGGTCCTCTTTGGTTTTAAAGCACGTTAAGTGGACACAGTAAAGTGAGAATGTAAAACATGTATCAGGAGCACTAAACGCATACCGAAACCTTTTTGTTTATTTTGGGGAATCCTTATCGAAATAAAATTTAAATATTTTACAAGTTGTCTTTGTAAAATTAAGAGCAATAAATATTATAAAAGGAAGCGTCTGTTTTCTTAAAAAGAAATAAAACAATTTATTTAATTACCATTTCTTTTCGTTTAACCACATCACGTCTACAGAAGGTTTCTTCGGAAACTTGGTCTGGAGCCAATTAAGCCAGCAGGCTCCAACGTCCGCCTCTTTTCCGGCCGTTCGTAACCGTTAAATTGTTCCAGCTATGATCTAACGAGATAATATAGCACACGTTTCTAAGAATCCCGTTCCAAAATCAATTTAATTAACCACCTAAAAGTCCAATCAATTGAAAGTCAATTTAATTACACTAACGAATCACAAGGTGCCAATTACAAAACATTCAAAACAGCCATAAATTAATTAAAAACAAGTATCGATACAATAAATTTTAATCCCTAAAGTAGATCGCGTAACAAAGTAGCAATAACGAGTTCCAATACTGGAACCTGCCTCGTTTACATTTGGATTTATATGTTTTTAACGCGTTTATATACGAAATGTCCTTCCAGAGTCGTTGCACTCAGGACTGTTTTTAGCGAATGTACAAGGAAATTAAAGCTCGGGACCTACTTGGCACGGAGATGTATCGTTGCGCTCATAAGTCGTTTAGTTGAAGAAATAGAGATTCAAGCAGTGCGCAGTGCAGCATGGTCTTGTTCGCAGTGCGTCGGGATGTCGGCGCCGGCTACTTGGCAGTGTCCTCGGTCAATGTACTCGCTATAAAAGCCTCCATAAGCTTTAGCCAAAACAATTTCACCGAGATTCTTGCCAGTTACACGCATGCCTTTAATTTTACGATCTATGTCATTTCAAAATTTACTTTAAGCTTTTCATGTTGTGCGATTTAATGATCCCACTTATGCAAACATATTCCAGAATTTTGAATCTTCTGCGAGAGCTTATCAGATTTTAAAGAAGATAAAACGACTTTTATTAGTCTTAGTAAAGTTACTTTATTGATAACCTAAGGGATATTATGTGATAACACATTCAACTATAACGTCAGTAAAAATAATACTTTTATGTGGATTATTATAGACAGAAATATATATATAGTGAATAGACAAAAGTATACTTTCTAAAGTATGTTTATACTACGTTATGTTTATAATGTATTTTAATCTAATGTATAAAATTCTCGCGTCACAATTTTCGTTCCCATGCTCCTCCGAAACGGCTCGACCGATTCTTATGAAATTTTTAATGCATATTCAGTAAGTCTGTGAATCGGAAAACATCTATTTTTCATCCGCCTGAATGTTAATGGTGGTCCCCCAAAATTTTTATTTTTGAGACAAAACTTTTTGTTTTATTTTTTATGATACAGCATACATAAATACATATAACCCTTAATTGTCACCCCTCTACGATCAACCCCTATTTTTATTATAGTAGATAGTATTTTTTATTGAACTAAATTTTTTTTCCTTGAAATAATATACATGACAAAACTACGTTTGCCGGGTCAGCTAGTATTAATATAATAAAAGTAATTATTGGCATTTTTTTTTGATAAATTGTTTAATTTTTTCGGGTTATTATAGACACTCACAATTGTATTATATAATTATTATAACATTTTTTTAATATTCATTTTCATTCGTTTACTTGATAACTAATATTATTTAATTGGAATCTCTTTAAAAGAGTTAGCTTCGGTCCGCTTACAACGTGCGTGTTAAATTTATATGGGCCCATATTTCACGAAAATAATGAGAGCGAATAAAATACGATTATCGACCAATAAAAGTACAGCTGTATTAATGGGTTTTGTAAGCAAATAAAACTTTTATTAGCGAAATATAAATTTATTATCACATTGTATAAATACGTATCTTAATCCGAAAAAACTAAGTTCTTATATCTAAATATAAATTATTATCTAATGTCTACACAGACACAATTTCCTAAGGAACATTCATGCCTTGACAACTTTGTACTCATTTAAGCCAAGTTTTCAATTCATGATTAACAATGGGCATAAATCTATGAATCACGCTTGACTTCACAGAATGTCACAAGCGTGAAGTTCGTGACTTTGCTTCAAATTCCAAGAGGTGCATGAAATGAGTTCATTACTGAGTCTACTTATATGAAAATACTGATTTACGTCATGAGGAATGTAATTTTTGGCAGGTATATTTAATTGTTTTTCTCCAACACCCATTTTCCTGAGTAGGGCGTCTCCAACCTCTTCACTTTGGGGCGGAAGCCGTTTTCGTCGGCTGTGTAGTCGACTCTGTACATGAATCCATCAGGACCAATATATTCGTAGAAACCCTTTGAAGCAATTCCCTCGTCGATCGTGTTAGGATTTTTCAAAATAGCCTCCTCCTTTCCACGGATTTTGTTTTCGGTCTCGAAACTGTAAAGAAAATTATTTGTTTAATGTTTTTTCTATATAATCTGTGTATAGTATAGACAATAGTCAAATTTAAACGGATATCCTATACTTCTATATGTTGAATAATATATGAAATTATCGTAAATATAATCATAGTTAAGCTATCGTTCACAGTCGTATCATTTGTGACTTTGAAAATCAAATACATATAATAACCCGTGAATGTCAATAACTGTGTCTTAAATGAATATAAATGATTTTGAACTTTGACCGCCACCTGTCAGTATTAAAATATGAGCGCCAATTTAGTGAGTCGGTCAAGGCTATATTTGTTTATACCTTTCTATAAAATACATAAGATTCGAAAGAGCAGTTGCTTCCGGGTGCATAATAAAGCAATTATTTAGTTTTTTAATTGCCTGCAATGCAAACTTGTTTGCCTATGAATAGTTATGAAGATTTAAGGCACTGACAGATTAATTTATGCTACTGTTATTAATATAGATTAAATATAGAATGGCGTCTAGACTAATTAACATAACGGAATAGCTATCTAATGAGTTATGCAAATCCAAAACTTACAATAGTTTTGGACAACGATGATATTATTTAGAAATCTTTAATATATTTGCTAATATACTATTTATGCTAATACCATTTTATGAAGAATTAATTATTCAAATTTCTATTCTATATCGCCATAAGGAAACCATAAATTAATCCAGTTCTCGATTGACGTAAAATATTATAACAACAATGCGGAAGTGATATTGCAATTTGGTTTTGAAAATGGGTAAAAAATATACGATAGATGTGTTCTGTAATACTGAATCGGATTGGATGTAACATCTGTTTCAACTTTGTGACAAAAATATTTTAAAATAAATGCTGCTTTATTAAATTGTATTTTTCGATTTCACTCTTTAGTACACGAACAAATATATCAAACAAAAGTGATTTATATTATTTATATATGTATATATATCTACTTTAATCTAAAATCCAAGTATAAGCCTCTTACCCGCTTTAATTGGTATTGAATATGAATGAGTAAGTACTTGAAGTACCTACTTTATAGGGTAAATGGTTACTTACTCGAAGTCATATTTGTCTTCCTTATAGTTGTGCTTTTGGCTGATAATCTTAATGCCGTTATTCTTGTAGTATCCCTCCTTGTAGAAGGGGTTATCTTCTGCTGCCGTTAACACGTACTTGTACGAGTCCTGGGTAGCGGCACTGATGTAGGGATCGTGTTCGTGGGAGTATGGTCCAAAGCCACCATCATAGGGGTTGTCTATGTGGATGTATGGATTCGGAATGTGGATGTATTTACCCTCATTTGTCGGAATATATCTGAAACAATGATTTAAGATAAATATGCTGTATGCTTACTATTTTCGATTGCGTTGTTAGGGAAAATAATATTTTAACGAAACGATCCGACAGTTTGCGACTGATGTATCAGAACGAACCGACTTAACTTGCCTTTTTTAATATTGTTATTGTGATGGTACACAGGTTCATTTTTTTTCTTATAATGCCCATTTCTTTTAACAAAGCGACAATTATTAATTATTCTATTATATATATTATATTAATAATAATACTCGCAAGAATACCTTTAGGTGACCTTACCCCTATGCATTCAAAGTGATAAAACCTTGATCGTAAGAGTGAGATAAGGCTTTTATTGCCACCTTTATTGGAAGCTATATTTTTAAAGAAATCCAAGTTAGAACAAAAGATATCGAGCATATTTTTTCAGTAAGCTCCATTTCTTGGCAGCTGTTATCTGATCTTAACACCTATTCCTAGGAATATATTAGATTATACTTTATCGCAACCTTTTCTTAGAATATTGTTTTACCTTGCAAAATGTTTACTGTAATATGAAAAATAAATTTAGTTTAAGAACTGTCTTTATTACTCGGAAAAATGTTAAAGTAACGAAAACATTTACGAAACGTTGAAATCTGCTATTGAAGTTGATACCTAAAGTTATTTTTGATAGGAATTACTTAAGTAATTAAAAAACTCAAATAATATAAAGAAACAATCGTATTGGCCTCATTTCTGTTAAGAATTTTCTGGTAAGAAATGCCGATTGTGCGCTGGATGATCAAGTAATATGTATGTGTGTATCAAAGAAAGTAAATAATTGGTGCACTATAGGGACTCCGCATTCTCAAATTAACACACTCAAAAAATGTATACATTCTTATACTCAGATTTTTTCTTTTGATACGTGTTTTGCGCATGAAGTTAACACAGAAATTTGCATTTATAATATTAACTTAGCTATATACTAGGTTGACATTTACGTACTTGCCATCGTCGCCGTATTTGTAGGGATTCCACCGGCCGTTCTCGATTGGCGAACTGACGGCTGCTCCCGCGCACAATGCGATCACACACTAGAAAATAAAGAGAAATAATTAATAAAAATATTTCTGCATGTTTATTTTAAGTAATCTCTTTAAATTATTTATTATTAATAACATACATACATACGATATAGTATGCAAAATAAATAATAAATAAAAAAATAGTATACAAATAAAATATTGAATAAAGTTTCTCAGTTAAGGAATATTATGAAGAATGTTGGAAAACTCCCAAAAAAAAAATATTACCACTAAAGCGATCATCCTGAATGCACTAAAAGTTTTCCGTAAAAAAATCACAACAGTTCAAAACACTTCACTGAATTGATCACTATGCGGAAATCTATTCACTTGTGTGTACACTCGTTTGAGAATTTCAAATCATTGTGTTGATTTCGAAATCGACGCTTCGCTTTTATACATTTGCAACATCAACTCATCCTCCGAGAGACCTGTGTGTCATACACGCACACATGCATACGGCCTACGTATTTTTTTCTTGCATACCATTGTTGACTTTATAGAGGCATATTGAATTGTTTTCTGGAATGGGTTGAGATATTTCCTCATGTACCGTAGCTTTGAACCTTTCAAAAATTCTTACACTGATTATGAATTTTAGGAAAAGCTTAACTTTTTTCACTCTTCCTTTTGTGTACGAATTTAAAAGTTTAGTTCTTTGTTCTTCAATTATTATTTTCGAGGCGTAAAATTTAGATCACTAACCCTTAAAAAAAGGTGTTGCTACGAACTCTACGATTGCTACGAAAAAGTTAAACATTTCTTGTAACTAGTAAAGAATACGAAGCCCAGACTTAAATGCCCGTAGGTATATGCAGAAAAAATATAATTTCTCTATTTTTAATAATTAGGTGATTGTAATGACATCCAAAACAAGACATTTTTATAACGAATTATAAAGGATTTTATTGTTTACTTTCCTTGAAGTTGGAAGTTAGTTATTTCTTAAACTTTTTTTAGTTCTATGCTATGATATATCTAATAAGTGTTAACAAAGAAAGTCAGTAAAGTTTATGACGATGACAAAAATTTAATAAATTTTAATTTTAATGAAAAATTGTATATTGTAATCCATAAATTTATTATTCTCATTACAATAATAAAGAAATTATATCGATGATTCATCGCATGGACGATATTTTAATATCAGTAGACTTTATCCGGATCTCGATAACCTTTAAGGTCAAATTGTATTTTAATATGATCATTGAAGAGAATGTCAACTTCTTCAGAAATAATTTCACGACATTCAGCTCTGGGATTACCAAGATTCGTCAAAAAATTTCTGGCCTTGATTCATATAATACACTATACAATTGAATACGCGTATCTATTGATTAAGCGTGAAATAAATGAAGTCCAAATAATTTTGACAGAAACTGTGTGTAAAGGATACCTTCGGAGTTTGATTTTTTTACCAAATTTAATTTAACTATGGGTAAATAAACAGAAGTGTACATAAATAAGTAAAGAAAAATTCACAACTTTTTTGAAGTCACTTTAGTTTAAAGTTAGGCTTTCAATTCTCAAAACAATAATTTCGGATGAATGGCAAAGAGGACTTTTCTATCAAAAATTTAATTATCCTTTCACTGAAGTATCATACTCCTAGTATGGCAACCCCCAGAACTACTCAAGGTTCTATTAAAGGTTACTGAGATTTAACTCAATGCAACTCAAATACTACACACATTAAAGTTCGAGACATAATTTTGACACTAAAAAATATTATTGTGGAATTCGGCACGACCTTGTGAAATTTAACATAATTGATTACTTTTTAGAAATACATGAGATAAAATTTTCTAATGATTGGGATTGCCCGCGAAAGTAGCACTCAACACGACTTGCGAATCGATTTATGAATTTATTAAAACTAAGTATGCTTTAAGATTAATTGTTGAAAGAAATTTGTAATTAGCGGACACTCACGACTGTAGGACGGTGAATAGGACGTGAATATTTTTTCTTTTCTAATCCAAGTAGTTACGATCACATTCTATGTTATTGACCTATAGCTGCTTCTAATTCTAGAACTAAGAAACAGAAAAATAGAAAGTCGTGATGGCAAAAGGAACTTTGTCCATTGGTCGAAATATTTTTTTCTTAATTAGTTGCATTAATACTAGACTATTGATCACATATATTACGCGTCAATGCTTTAGCTTTGTCTGTTCAATATTATTAGAATAAAATTCCTTAGAAACATTTTGGCTAATTTTCTCATTACCACTTTATGACGTGTCTCTTTCTTTTCCTTGCCAAAGAGACTAGACTATACTAGCATATAAGATGAGGATAAAAAATCTGACTTCCTGTAAAAGTATTTATGGTATGGTAGACACAAATACTTGAGAAGGTATGTGAGATTAAACGCAAGGTATATCGAACCCGTGACCTAATTACAAGTCCCGACCATCTTACCGCCGCTAAAAATGATTCAAAAACAATAAAATTACCGTATCCCTTTAAAATTGTAGGCGTTCCGGCTGAATTATTGTATTATACTTTATGGCGTCTTCTCAATCAGGTCAAGAAGGCCTTAAAATTGCAACCCGTTATACCTCTCTCGTCTGATTGCACTAAATATATCGTTTTTTGATAATTTGCTTTCTTGTTTCAAGTCTAAATGGACCTTGGAGTACAGATAAGTGTACCTTTAATGGTAATTTAACATTTACAGTATTACACAAGTTATTTACGATATTTCATGCAATTTCTAAATAGGGTACTTGTATTAAGGTAGTTCAAGCGAATCTATTAGAATTAATGTTATTTATTTGAATAGTTAAAAATGGGAAAATCGTATGGAATCAAGCTTGCGAGCGGGAATGGTAAACAAAAGACGACAACTAACTACTAACAGTCATGTATTTGATTGCGTATTTGTGATTAGATAGGAGATGTTGACCATTGAAAATCAAGCAAAACACGTCATCACTCTACCTTTCCTTTTTTGCAAGTTCTGGGCTGTCTAACTTTTTTTTTTTTATAGAACGGGGGCAAACGGGCAGGAGGCTCACCTGATGTTAAGTGATACCGCTGCCCATGGACACTCTCAATGCCAGAGGGCTCGCGAGTGCGTTGCCGGCCTTTTAAGAATTGGTACGCTCTTTTCTTGAAGGACCCTAAGTCGAATTGGTTCGGGAATACTCTTTTTATAACAAGAAATTTTAAAATCCTTTATTAAGGGTGATTTTATAACAAAATTGTATTCATTTATCTGTGAGGTTTTTATGCGTGTATGTACGGATATGATTTTTTTATGTAAAAGTTGTAATATTGAACAACATGTAGATAATTTCATCGAGATATCGAAGCAAAATATAAAGCTGAATTGTCTCGATGTCCATAGTTTCACATCTGAACGCGCATCGCCTCTATATGGAACCAGCTGGTTGTTGAGGTATTTCCTAACTTAAACAATTCAAAGGTACCATATTAAAAGGCGACAACCTGGCGAGCCTTCTTGCATAGTGCGTTGCCAAAGGGATCACCTAATATCTCAGAGCTTCCATTTTCTCCTCTGTATTATAAAATAAACATGCCGTTATAAAAATATCTACGCCGGTCTGATTGTGATACAAATATCACGATAATTAACGATTAAATTATACAAAATAAATACATTAATTTTTATGTTTATCCGGCTGACGATTTTCCATTGAATATTTGTGACGAATTTGTAATATGGAATTTGTTAGAAAATTCCATTTTGCGACGTGACGCAGCCTGCGCCGGCGCCGGCTACCGGTTAATAAACAAGATATCCTACTGTTTCTTGAAGTTCGAGTGACGGCGGATTTGTAATGTGGTTGTTACGTGGAATCTAAAGCTATACAAAGGTTTCTATGAATTCATACAATTGGTTTTATACGATGGTTAAATGAATGGTTAATAAAGGTTAGTGATTGACATCCGTATTTAGTAAACTTTCGAGGTCAAGCAGTTAAATCGTAAAACCACAATATATTTATAACCGTTTAATATTTGTTAAAACTATGATTTATTACGAAGAAATTAAATTAAATTACATTAAGTTTATTGTTATTTGAGTTCCCGCTCTATGATTTCCCTGTCTATTGTATCAGTTCTGAATATGGATATATACTCAGAAAGAGTTTAAATAGATAAGGCAACCGTGTCCTACTTTAATAGCACAATATTGATTTAGAATCCAAGACTGCTAATTAGAACGTCCTAACAATAATCTAAACAAATCAACCAATATATCATCTACTAACAAAGTTATCTACAATCGTAGTTAATATTTCATTGACAATTTACCGTTGCCTATTTTAGCGTATCATAAATTTCATTGATGGATCTGGGACAGATAAAATTTTATCTTCATATGTACTGTATACGTCTTGTATTGTTTAATATTTAAGAAAGTTTAATTAAGAACGTTGGTAAAAAGTATAGAACTTTTCCTAATTTAAAATGTGTATAGAATTGTATGATTTGTCTGCTATTGAATTAGCATATTTCAAAGTCGGGATAGATAAATAATAGTGGCATGAACTTAAATGTAGAAACGCCGTCAATAATGATACAAGCTAATAAAAGTATTACTAGTTTTATAATTAGTAGTTTAATTTCGCTATTCAATACAAGTTTATTTTTAAAAGAAAGATCATTCAAATGTCTATTAATTTACACTTTAAAACGATCTTCGCTAAGAAAATATAAAGGCCTTTATTCTCAAAAATTTTAATTCTTACTAAGTATTGTTTGCGTGACAGCCGCTGTAAATATTTTCGAGTAGGTGCAGGTAAACTATATAAAATCTTTCTTATACGAATAAAAATATTTGTATTGTAGAGGAAATAAATAAATATTGATTAAGATATAAAATACTTATTCATGCTTTATAAATACTTTGTAAGATCCTTACGCTCTGACAGTCTCTTCCGGATACATCATATTATTTTATTGAGGCAAACATACAATGTATAACAATTTATGTACCTATATACGACCAGTGTGATACTTAATAAAACGTGTTTAAATATGAGGTATTAAAGGCTGATTACCTGTTGACTTACCTCTAAATTATTAAGAAATGTTCCATAACTCAATAGGGGGTTACGGGATTTCATTTACACAATAATCGTTTCGCTTCAGCTTTGTTGCTTTGTTGTATCATACCATACCTACACACCCGCTTAGATCACCATCGCCACTTTATAATTTATATAGAAAACATTTCTATATCTGCCCCATTTTTATGTTTTTACCAG